AATTCTATTGGTGATATTAAATCATCTCTAAGAACTATACTTCTAAACAACAAAAATTTCCATTAAATAAAATTAGTACAATGTATTTAATCTATATTAATGAGTCTTTTTCCATTATAAAAACTTTAATTCACATGGTAACATAAAAGAGAAAGCCAATGTCTTTCTCATTTTCAAATATCAGTAAGTACTTTTATATAATCAACTAAAACTAATAACAATAAATACTCCAGTAAGACGCCTTCTGTTCTTAACTTTCCTCAGTTCATTAATTCCTCCACAAATCTATTACATCTATTTTGTACTGTAGGTTTCAAGTCACTCTATAAGCTTTTGGTTGACCTTTTCCATCAGAGTTAAAAAAATACAGACAGAGGCACAGATAGATACCAATCACTATGAAAAACAAGCTATGTTTCTGAATAATATTTTTGAAGTTTTAATACCCAACCTAAATATGTTTCAATATCTTTATATATAAAAAGTATCCTATTTTAAGAGACTATCCATAAATCCATGTATAATTTCCCAAGAAATTTTGTTCAGAAAGCAATCCCCAAAACACAGGATAAGAACTACCATGAGGTATTTATTATAGTACAAGTGATTGGACAAAAAAAAATGAAGTTCTTCAATTTTGACAATGTTTCTGATAAAACACAACTGTTAATAGCAATGAGAAACCAGATGGTCAGAGAAAAGATTGACAATTCCCTTTTAGATATGCTCATTTCAGAAGCTGCAAAGATCTTGCCAAAAAGAAAAAATAAAACCAGATGAGAAATCAATAGAGATACCATCCATTTGTTATATACATATATGCATACATAGATAGGAACAACAAATCTATAAACAAATCTATAAGCAGATCCCATATCCAACATCACTGAATATTCGGGGCTTGAGAGAGTGAAAAAGAAGTGTAGCATAAGGCTAACAGTTGACTAATCTGTGATTCAGTTTATGTTTCCATTCCTTCCTATGTGCCTTATTACAGAGAATAGAGGCTTTATAATAAGTCTGCATATGTTGATGATATGTATGTGAGAGAAAATGTCCTCCAAATGACCCATTTTGACAAAGGTCGGATCTCGTGTGTGTGTGTGTGTGTGTGTGTGTGTGTGTGTGTATGAGTGTATTGCCTTCATGTGTATGAGTGCATCCCTGACGTGCAATGCCCATAGAAGTCAAAAGAGGGTGTCGGATCCCTGGAACTAGAGTCAGTTGTTAGCTGCCACGTGGGTGCTGGGAACTGAACCCAGGTCTTCTGCCAGAGCAGCCAGCGCTCTTAACCACTGAGTCATCTCTACAGTCCCAAAGATTTTATCTCTTACATGACAATTCTTAATGGGTTTCTATGTAGCCTGTGAGGGGAAGTACAGGCTGACTTGGTTCTGGACCATCTTTTCAAGGACGCTTGTATAACACAGTCATGAAGGGCAGAACATACTTCCAGAAGAAAAAAGCAAGTTCATTCCAGGTTTAATAATAATAACGTTCCACTCTAGGGTAGAGGTCAAATAAACCTAATGCCCTCTTCAAAAGATGTGGGCTCCTTAACCTGATGGTTCCTTTCCTGCAATACATCTCAGTCCAAGGTTGAGTAACATGGTCTTCTCCATGTTGTTGTGTCCAAGGAAGAGTTAAAGCAACCAGTGCAAGTGCTAATATTCTTTGACCCAAACCTTTGCCAAAGAGTGGTAGTTTATTTGACCTCTGTCCATTTTCTACTGTAACAAACTCACTTGTAACAGAGGCATGGGATTCTGTGCCACAGGAATTGGGACAGGTAAGGGGTATCTCCACTCCCTGGGTCCACCAGGCTGTGGGCAACAGCCGACACAGGCTGAGCTGCAGAAGCAGCAGAGTTGAAGAAAATCTTGTTACAAGAAAAGACATATTGCCTGGACGGACCCAGAGTGGCCGGGGCAGCAGCAACAGCTGCAGAAGCAGCAGCATGAACTAGGAAAGAACTAGAAGGGGTAAATATGACTGCAGAGCAGTGGCCACAGCAAAAAGAGGCAGTGAACAGTGCCCAGAACAATCAGGGCAGGAACAAGAACAATGATGGGTACAAAGCTGGGAGGAGAAGAGGGCCATGGCTGAAGGAAAGGGCTGTAAAGAGCGGAAGCTGTAGGTCCTGGAAACTTCAAGTACCAGAAAGCTCACTGAAAATGGCAGGTCTTATCTAGAGGAGCCTAAGTTGTCCAGCTTGCCTTGCTTCAAGATGATGGCAGAACACGGAAGATTCCTGTGTCTCAGGGACCCCAGTCCGAGGAGACCCCAGTCCAAAACTGGCTGTTGTCAAAGGCTGGGAAATCCCAACACTGTAGTCCCAGAAACTTTTAACACTAGCAGCTGTGAGGGGCTGAGTAACTTCTCAGTCGGCCAAAAAAACCTGTAACAGTTTTAGAAGTGTGTGGATTGAATATCTGAATCAAAACTTCAACAGTTTAATTTCCTCTCCTTTTCCTTACATAAACTATGTACATACTGTAACACCACCTGTGACCTGGATGATCCTCTGACCCTGTGATGACAAGCCATGGTCCCGCCTCCTTCCCATGCTCTGCAAAGAAGTCACTCCCCTTCCCTCTTCCAGCTAATCCTTGACCTTAGCTGCATGTAGGGGAGGGATTACGGGTATAAAAGCTGGGGAAACCAGAAGGCTGGTCTGTCACTATTTTGTGAGGCTGTCAGGAACCACAGGATTTATGGGTGTGGACTTTTGAACACAGCCCTGAATAGGGGGTTGCTCTCACTTCTGTAAGTAAACCTTCACCCAAAGCTCAGTTAGCAAGTCCAATAAACTCGTTGATTCTTCAAATCGGGATTTGGAGAATTCTTTTCTCAGGTTGTTGTAAGGACCATGAGAGGAAGGGATGTGATGCCATGTGCGCCTCCCAGCAGTGAATTTGACTCACACCACCATATACTAGCACTAGGTTCTCCAGTTTATGAGAAATAAAGGTAATTTGGGAAGCCATCTCTTTCAATAGCCAACCATGTTCTCCCTAATTTTTACACTTGTGTGTGTGTGTGTGTGTGTGTGTGTGTGTGTACATGTGTGGGAGTTGGGAGTGTCAATGACCAAGAGTGGAGGTCGGAGGATAGCTTGGTTCTTACCTTCCACTGTGTGGATTCTTCAGCTAGAACTCAGGTCATAAGGCTTGATGTATATGCGTGCATTGCCTGCATGTAGGTAAGTGCACCTGTGTCATGCAATGCCCGCGGAGGACAGAAGAGGCCATCAGAGCCCCTGGAACTGGAGTTACGGACAGTTGTTAGCTGCCATGTGGGTGCTGGGATTTGAACCTGGGTCTTCTGTAAGAACAGCCAGTGTTCTTCACCACTGAACCATCTCTTCAGCCCTACTTTTTCATTTTAAAAACATCTTGTCTAAAGAATATTTTAAGAATTTTAAGGAAATACTGTAATTTAGATTTAGTGTCACCAAACATTTTACATATTGAAATGGTCTTACAACTCAAGATGCTAAGATGCTATGAAGCTGTACACTCTAATAATTTTCCCTTTAATTGAAAGAATGGTCACAGTAACCTTCCTAGGAGATAAAAATATAATTTCCATGGAGCTCCCTGTCAATTATTACTGCACTCAGGTAGCATTCAGGCTTGTCCCAACACAGTCTATCTAACCCCTACCTTTCTCATGCACTAAAATCTAGAACTCTGGGAATATGCCACAAAGATACAAAGTGCTGGAAAACAATCTTTAATTTGTATTCAAAATGTGATTTTAATTATAGGACTTCTCCAATCTCTTGTCAAAACACCAAGAATTTTGTGAGGCCTACCTTTCATGCTAAAACTCTAAAAGAAAACAAAAAAAGGGGGGAACTATAGCACAGTTCTTAATACTGAGGTTGTTTCAAGTAAAAAGTGAAGAGAATGAATTACTGTTTCCACGTGAGATGACTGTTTCACTCACCTCCCAACTATTAAGAAAAATCTGATACTATCTTGAACCTGATTCAGATTATGAGCCCCATGTACACTGAGTAATTTCAACAGGAAAAACCATCTTCAACCATATAGACAGAATACTCTTTTTTAATATTTTATGTATTATTTTTAAGTGTACTGGTGTATTGCCTGCGTGTAGGTAGGTGCACCCATGTCGTGCAATGCCCAAAGATGTCAGAAGAGGGCGTCGCACCCCACTGAACTGGAGTTACCAACAGTTGTTAGCTGCCACTTGGATGCTGGGAATCGAACCCGGGTCCTCAGCACGATCTGACAGTGCTCTTAACCTCTGAGCTATCTCTCCAGTCCCTAGACAGAATACTCTTACCAAAGTGGTCCACAATTAGAATTCTAAGTCACATTTCCATAGTAAATTTCTTTGTGAAACTGCAAAACCAGCTTCCCAAAATATTTCTGCATAACTGAGCTCACAATTCTGCAAATCCTTGATGGTCCCCTACAAATCCCACCCTCCTCAAAATTAGAGGTGAGCTGTGATTGAAATCAGGTGATCAGAACACCATGATTAAATAAGGGGTAGCATAAAAATATGTCATTCTCACAATGACACGCTGAGTTTAACACATAAATAAGCACTCCTTTCCAAAGGGGTATAATTAAGGAATGCAGAGTAAAGCACTCTCAGTATGATGTCTTCTCTTAGCATACACAAAGGGAAGAAAAAAAGGGGCAACGGTCCCAGGAGTTTACAAGCACTAGAAGGGGTCTGCCAGACCTGGCACGCCCTTCAGCTACACAGGTGCCCGCAAGGCCCGGGCTGCAGGAGGCTCCCAGGGTCCCGCGTGGGCGCTCAGCCTGTCCGCCCCCGCAGCCCTCCTTTATGAGAGTACCGCCACCTCAGCCCAGAGCACCCCGACACGCCCAGGCGACTCTCACCCCCGCGGCTCCCGCCCCCAGGCACCCACGCCCCGCTGCCTAGCGACGCGGCGGGGCTGCCTAGCAACGCGGCCCCCGCCCTCCAGCCCCGGCCAGGGCCCGGGGTAAACCGGCTACCTCCTTTTTCTTCTGTCCTCCCCCGAGCTGGATGCAGAGCAGCAGCAGCAGGAGGAGGAAGGGGAAGCCGCCGGTGGGCAGGTAACGCATCCGGCGGCCCGCCTGTCTCCGGCGTGAAGGAGCGGCCCTGGCACCCATGGCCGCAGGGCAGTGTCTCCTCCACGCGCGGTAGCCGTGCGCGCCCAGCTCCTCCCGCGCTCGCTGGGCCAGTAGCCAGCAGCTTCCGCGGCCGGGGCCTCGGGGTGGCAGCGGCCTCTCGAGGGAGCTGGGCAGAGGCTAGGGACGCGGAGGAGCAGACTGGCAGCGCATCCGGTTCACCGGGAGAGGGGCCTGGAAAGCCGCGGGATGGAGCCGGAAGTAGGCGTGGCAGGGACGCAGGCTCTGTGCGCGGGCGGGGATGCTGCACTCAGTGCGCCCTGGGGGACTGAGGTCAAGCCTCGCCTATTCTGTCAGCTGCTGTGCACCTTCGCCCAACCTCTGTCGGGACCTGAGGCCACCCCGATTCCTTCCTGGCTCATGGAGAGCTTTAAAGAACAAAACTGGAGCCCCTGCATTCCAGGGAAGGCTCCATTCACATCGGGAAATACTTAAGGGCCCCACCATGCATCCTCCTGAGCCTTCTGCTAAGTTCTCTTACTGTGGGTGCCTACTATCAGCCCAATTCCGCTGTGATTTCCTGTAGGTCCAGTTTTAAAATACCTTGAGGCACCAACCTAGATACCATTCGCTGTTAAATGCCATTCACTGTTCTTGGAGTACCAACCAGGACTTTCGATGCAGGAATGAAGAGAACCTATTTTAATCCCTGTTCGCTTAATATTTTTAGAACAGCAGCAGTCTTTTTATTGAATATTATGACCCAGGTTCAGTTTTTTGTTGTTTCTGTTTAAGACAAGTTCCCATTTTGTACCCTAGGTTGTCCTCATACTAGATAGCCTACACAGCCCTCAGGCTCAAACCAATCCTCCTAGATACTGATCTGTTCATGTTACTCCTCTACTTGAAGATTTTTTTGCACATGTCAAATGAACATTTTTTATAACCTTATGAAACCTGAAGGCTTGGCATTAAAAGTATTTTTAAAAGCAAGAAGTTAAGAATTACCCATCAATCAATTATAATGAACTATAAGTTAAAGTGATTCACTTTTC